AGTTATACATATACAAACAAATAGAAAGAAACAGACTACACTGTAAGCCGTGCTAGTTTGTACGTGAAAGAATGAGCATAATGCTGGTTTTTTTCCTGAACTAGAACCGCCAGCTGCTATCAGCTGGATCTTCATAATTAATGACAATTTGTGTTCCCTTGAATTATCTATTTATGTAAATAGTGCTTATGAAAAAGGAACAGATATCTATTGAACAGATATCTATTGAATTATCTATTTAAATAGTGCTTTATATGTAGAAAGGAACAGATTACAGACTACGCTGTAAACCGTGCTACTTTGTACGTGAAAAATGAGCATAACTAGTACTGTTTTTTCCTGAACTAGGACCGCTTGTTGTTGTCAGACAAAACTTGCGCTCCATTGAATCATCTATCTAAAAAGTGCTTATGAAAAAAAACACAGGAGAAAAGACCACAAAGATTGTCTTGTTTTCAATATCTACCAAGGCCGATTGATGTTTGCGCCGCGCGAAACGTGAAACATGCGCAGCGATGATTGTCAGTGAGCGAGCCGACGCCACTTGCCCAGAGAGCTCACTGATCAGTTAATTCACGCAGAAAGCTAGGTGGATTTAGCATCTTTACTTAATTCTTTTACGTGGATAAACACGATGTGCGGCAGTGTAAACCAGTGGCCTGTGTCGGGGACCGGGTTAGCTACGGCCCGTTTCCGCTACTGCCAGGACCCTCACAGCCGGTTTGAAGCCACTACAAGGCTAACTTAGGGTTAGAGGCAAGGCATTTGATTCAACTGGTCAGGCCAACCAGCTTCAGAGATCATAGGTCCTTTGGTCTCGACACGTGAAACGCTGGAGTTCAACGAAGAATAAAATCAGGAATCTGATATATTGAGCATTGACCAGCTCGGTTTTTTGCCCTTGTAATGCTATTCGTCAATGTACTACAAACCTAGTTTGTTAAAAAAAAGCAATTGTATCAAGCACCTCAAATGAATAGTGACACTACGCACAAATACTTGTGATATGAATTCAAAGGTTGAAAGCGACATAGTATCTGACGGCGTCTGTCGATGTGCTCATCTGATGTGATGAAAGGACATGTTGCATCTAACTTCATGTCCGTCCAAGACCCAAGAGAACCTCAGATTTGATCCGGCTACACGATGTTAAATGCTGACAGTAAATATATTGAGGGGCACAGGGCAGCAAATGAAAAATCCTTCGCGTAAAGTGAAACGTCGCCCATCGGCGCCCAGTGCCATTATTTGTCATGCGAATAACGTTCCCCGGCGCTCGCCGAGATAAAACACGACAGTGGATTCCACTGTCGCGAGGTATTGCTGCATTCCAGAGCTCAAATGAGCGTACGGCATGCCAAACATATGAAGGCATAATTCGCAACATGTGGGCGATATCTCTCCCGGTCCGGCCGACCCTTCAGACAGTTTCAGCCTCGGCATTATTTATTTGTACGTCAGGAAATCCGCCGAGACCGGACAATGGCTCTCGTGGCTCGCACTCCGCTGGTCCTGACACACAATATAATCGCGGCCATATGTCGGCTTTGCCGTGTGTGTGAGCTGAATTGCAACGTATAATGGTGACGTAACTTGAAGTTATGATTTTAACTAGTTCAGCCGTTTATTTCAGACAATCTGTGTGAGATATCTCGGAAAAAGACCACGCAGATTGTCTTGCTAAGATGTCCTAAATTCCATTGAAAAAGATAATAACGCTTCTGGTGCTGCCGTAGAACCGTATTAAATAGATGTATAGGTGTCTCTAAATGATTTTATAACTACAAACTTTTCCTTTCACAAAAAGATCAAATGACAATGATAACCCACATTCAAAGTACGTATGTGATCGTTCACAGGAGTTTTTTTTAAGGTTTCTAAAGTTATTAGTAAAGTTCAACTTGTTAAAATCCAAAAATTGTCGGATAATAGCCGTTTTCACGACGGCCATCTGGTACACATTTGGTGCACATCTGGTACAGATCAGGTGCAGATTTGGTCAAATCAGGTTCGGCTTAGCAGTTATCAGCAAGGGTTACACTTATTGCTTACATGCCTGCTTTGTCATATTATCAGAGAGTATCATCGATTAAAACACTGAAATAAATTCATAAAATGAAGATATTTGCTGTAAAAGAGATTAGGTGCAGATTTGGTCAAGTCAGGTGCATTCGCCGGATAGCCCGTCGTGAAAACGGCTAATAACCGTTTTCACGACGGGCTATCCGGCTAATGCACCTAATTTCCCCAACTCTTCACCTAATCTCTTTTACAGCAAATATCTTCATTTTATGAATTCATTTCAGCGTTTTAATCGATGATACTCTCTGATAATATGACAAAGGAGGCATACGAGTATAAGCAATTATTAGTGCAAATCTAGCTGATAGCTTCTACGAGATGCACTGAACCTAATTTGACCAAATATGCACCTAATCTGCACCAAATGTGCACCAAATGTGTACCAGATGGCCGTCGTGAAAACGGCTAATGTCTTATGGGTCGTTTTTAACGATTATTATTGTTGCCACACATTGTATTTGATATTTTGATTCGAATTAAAGCGTCTACCCGAGACAATTTTATAGATCAAACAATATTCCAAGCAAAGGCGCTTTTAAATTCATCTCAAAGAGAATATATTATCAAATATGCGCTTAGTTAGTTCATTACTACCATTTGTGACCATTTTCAAGTGCTTGGCCACACCAAATCAGTATTAATCGAATTCCACGCACTCATGAAGCTTAAGCCTAACAATCGTTAGCGATTGTAGCATCTTCAACATTGCAGCTTGAAGCATTGATCGGATGAGGGGAACTTTACAATAATACATAAAACTGAGGGATGATGCACTCTCATCCATCTTAGATGGAACTTCAGAAACACCTATGTGAGCTTAAACATCTGACGACATTTGTCGGGAGATAGATTGCTAGCGACGAGGACCTCGAGAGCCTTTTACTAGATTGACAATGGATGAAACGTCTTTAATAATGTATTACTCACAATGAAGGGTAAAATGTCAGGAAATTTAAAGGTGGTGGAGCAAGCAAGATGAAAAATGCCTATATGGTTCCAACAATCTAACCCTTATACTAATAATACTGGCTGGGGAGGAGACGACAATTCGGCCCATGCCGGATAGTTTTCTGCTCTCCATGAAAAATGCCTGTGGTTAAGAGCTTGAAATTAGATGGATTCTTCTCAATCGAAAATATAATTTATTGTATACATTCCCGTATTTTGAGAAGATATGTCTAATTATGTTCGATCATTTTCTTAGCACCAATATTTTTACCATTGACATTGACATTGACTTCAGCAGCACAGCAAGAATCCAACAAGGTCCATGGGAGATTCAGATTAGGCCTACGGATGGATGATGTGCCCGATAAGTTTAACCAAAGACATCGCCTTACAGCGCACCGCTGATCAGCTCTGGGCATTTCCCACGGCTGTGGTGAGATTATCCAGTATCCACCCCTTGTTCTCCTGGAGTACTGCGTCATCGCAGGTCATCGCTCTCGTCTGAACAGGCGGAGTTCCCCAGGGTAGAAGTTTCTGTTGTAGCTCTACCTCTACTGGGAGCCGCGCCGTCATAAATTCGGTCCTCCAAGATCTCCTGATGGAGGAGGGTAGAGCTAAGCCGGTGCCCGGAGTGACAGGTACTGGCTCCGTTCCCTGCGATTTCGAGTGGTGGGGCCACTGCCGGCGGGTCGGCCTGTGCTGCGCTCCATTACTCCCCTCCGCGGACCGACTGGCAATCGGACGGTCACAATGGCGCAAATCAGCCGCGTCACAACTGCCGACGGCGCGCGTCACAAACGCCGCACTGCGCACAAAGCGCCGCCATACCGGCCCGGTAATCCGACGTTTTCACAAAGGCCAGCGGAGGAAATGGCGACAACTGGTGGCATATCGTGCAGAATGCTGATTGATAACTAGGTGCGAAGTTAAGTTAGTGGAGCACGTAGAGAACGGACTCTATGGAAAGTGACGGCTGCTGAGCATATGTGCCATACAATATAACAATCGCAGAAACTTTTGTAGGATTTTTTTTTTTTCGGTTAATGTATAAGAAAACACATACCTGATGCTGCGTTACGTGCTACCTGCTATGATTCCCTTGCTCACCAACTGTTAAGTATGGAGCTGCTTTACTTAGACGTCTATATTTGAAAGAAGATGACGACAAAGTAATGCTGAAAAGCAGGATCTGCTGTTATCCCCCGCTCCACGGTTTGACTTTACCTGACAGACACATGTGAGTGGGCGAGGGAATGCTTGATGGTTTTGATTGATTCGTGCCCGACCCTATGATGCGCGGCCCGACAGCGCCCATAGTCGGCGGCACTTACAAAGTTGGCAGCTCGTTTGCGCACACGGCAAAAAGTATGGCATAGTTGACGGTAATCAAATGTCCAATGTGGTAAAATTGGGATCGCGGTGGGTGGGCGGCCGAATATCAAAAGCTCAAAAAGGCATCACGGTTTAGATTTCTACGAAGGGATATTGTGCTATGATTGAAATGCTTCACAGCTCATCTATATTTAATTTGCAAGGCTTGACGTTTTAAGATGAATAACATTCAGAGCAAACGGGATGCAAGGCGACATTTAAAGCAAACATGGTCTGTCTGCAGCTAAAAGAAGCTTCCTGTGATCTCAATATTATTACGCTTGCTCTTTTTTATTTCATTTTTATCCATTTATTTTGGCGCGTAACAGTAAAGGGTTAGCCAAATGCTTACCATATCTACTGATGTAAAACAAGAAAGGCATAATGAGCGCCGCAATGGAAAATCAAAAGTTTATGCCACCGTCAACCGGTGACATTGATCGCGTATTGAAACACCGGGTCGGGGTACCAGCAAGTGTTTCATCGGATTGAATCCGCTATAGCAAAGTCGTTATGCTATATTTTATAATTTAATATTTTAGCTTTGACTCATAATGCATAAGTAATATGTTTGACTTCGCCTGATCTTTTTTCAGGGACCACGATGCCCTGTCTTAGGCCACCTCGGGTTCTCCAGGTCGTCGCCCTAGTTTATGCAGGTAAGCTCGGATGCCATGAAATATAAGTCTCAGTCTCAAACACTCACTACAGTCTCAAATTATTACGGTATGTGTAAAAACATGTTTTCCATGGAACCATGGGCACCACTTATTTTAGCATCTGTGGACTCCGGTTCGTCAAATATGATTAATCCCATGTGCAAGCATCGGAAGATATTAGACCAATGTAATTTGTGTTAATATTTGTGCACACTTATGTCATTTGATGTCAGTAAATTACAAATTTTCCCGTCTAATAACACATCACCACATAGACACATGCGCCCCTTTCCGTTCTGGTACACCTTTGGGTCGATACGGTCCCATTACGGAGGCCATGCTCCCAGAGGGGGCCATTTATCCCATAAGGTGCGATGGCGTCTGATTGGACTCATCCGGGTAAGCCGATGCTGCACCACACAGCGCTACCTACAACTTATCCCCAGTTTCAGTCCGACACACGTTTCAATGTGTGCAATGTTGCAATCTTGATGTTTCGTTGTTTCGTTAAAAAATGTGATTTTCATAAGAGCATGACGAAACATTCACATTTTCAGGCTCAGGATGCGTGAATAATAAATGAGAATGACATTCCAAATCTTGCCAAAAATCGATGAAATTTTAACTCTACACATTATAGGCGCCGCAAATTATGCATACATTTAGATAACAGCTGATTATGCAAAATTCAATTTCAGAAAAGTTTTCAGGGACATTTTTTTGATAATTTAGTGACTCCCAAATATTGTCTCCCTGAAGCCTGCGGCAGTCTCGTTGTCTCTCATTTGTTGATGTTTTGTTCCTCCAAAGTGTTGTCCTGTCGCCTCCTTCCTTGGCGGCACGTCTCTGCGCCCCAGGCCTCCGTGTCTACTCAGGACTCCGCAGCGTCTCTGGGCTCATTGGGAGTCTGATGTCTTTTGGGATCCTCTGGCTTTCCGCTAGAGAAATCGCATGCAGTCTCGTTTCGACGCATTTCCCAAATGCACTGCGCCTACTGGCATCCTCTGAGTGTGCAGTCAATTCCTAGGCGTGAAACAGCTGATATATCCAGTCTATCCAGTCTACCACGATGTATTTGCAATAGAACGCGTTGCCGAGCCATTGCGCATAACGCAGCAACCGAAAACAGATTGGTGTCGCGGGACTTCGCCTCTTTGTTCTCTGACTACAACAGATGCTAATACGCGGGGCACCGCCAATCTAACTTATTGGCGGCGGGCTGATCTGATTGCTCGTTCTGAGTTCAAATGTAGCATGACTTCCAGTGACTTGCAAAGACATTAAGATGTTTATTGCTTTTTAGGTATGCGGGAAATAAAACGATTTTTTCAGATTGATTTCTTTTCAGAAAAACTACGTGTTTAACAAATACGCTGGAAATTTATCTCAAAAATAGATCTTGCTTTATCGCAGTTATCGCGTTTTAGTTAACATTTACTTGCTTAAAGACCAACATTTCAGTCTGCCCTGTCATGTTTTGTGTTCCAAATAACGACTCTAATAAAGCAAGGATCAAACTTTGCGTCTGCACCTGAGGTGGTTCATTCTAACTTCTAAACTTCAAGGGATAGGCAGGTGGTGGCCTACACAGAATGCAGTTCGCATTGCTATTACACTTCTGACCAATAAATCTACACGTCTGCCACTTTTCTCGGGCAAATTTACATCAAGCTAATGACGTGCCGGCTCAGACCTGCCAAAGCTCAATCAAATCAAGAGCCGAGATTCAAATCTGGAGCCGCGGAATCAATCGGCTAAAATCAGAGAGCGGCACCTCGCCGCGGGGCTGACACCGCTCTGACGCTCCACTCCCGGGAAGTGAGGCCGCCACCCCATGGCCGCTCGATGGTAATCCGGTCTGTAACGGGAGCGATGACCGAGACCATGTCACCGAGACCCCCGTCAAAGAGGCCCTCCGCGAACCCATCGCCGACAGGGGGAAACGGCGCCGCACACGAGTCTACTGCTTCCGCCGCCCCGGCCTGCCGCGAGCTGCGACTGCCGGTGCAGTTAGTTGCATGTCATCCGGGAGCTGATCGATTTACCATTACTGTGTGTTCCGATGTTTAGTCCGATGGCTTGTGAAAAGAAAGTTCCTATTTTTAGTTACCAAAATCCTATGACGGATCATAATAAATATTCATGTTTGTGCAAAAATATGTTTCTTTTGATACAAGATGCGGTAAGGCATTTATTAGTCCATTATTTAACAAAATGCAAGACTTGGGAAATTAACTATAATAGCATCGTGCTCATGGCACGGTGCTGGACGCTGTTGTGAATGAGTTCTATGTCGGAGTTCGGACTTCCCATGAGTCCGTCGTCCGCCGACGCCGGCCAGGGATCAGATGGCGCCCGTCGACATATCGCCGCCCGTCTGCCGCCATGCATAACAAAGTAAACGCTCACAATTACCCCCAATATATTTGGTTATATGCCTGACGATGTGACAAGCACCGTGTCCAAATGCGTTTATAGGATGATCGAAACACGCCTTCATATTGAATTGAAATGTTCCTGGAAATCATCGACGTGCCCCCGACAGCAGACAGTTCAAACTTCAAACAGCCGAACGGCTCATGCATGATTCGATTTAATTAGATCGTTTGGCGCAGTCATCCGCCTTGCGAGAAAGTTTTTGAGGGAAGGAAATACGGCGCCTGTATTGTTTCACTGACTTATATATTAAGCCTAATCCAACCGCACCTTGGTGAAAATTTCCTTTTTCCCCATTTTTTCTTTTCCTCCAAAACACTTGCGCTCATTGTCTGTGAATTGCTGCATATCTGATGATCCGTAGCTAGACATCATGAGTGCAGCAATCAATTTGATTCATCATGTTTGTTCCATTGGAAATAATATTTTTTTTCTAATTGTTCACATCAAACTCCAAGTTGTAACGTTACTCGTAAGATAGCTGAGTTCGGTCAACAGATGAACATTGCGCTGACTGTCACTGCGCCGTGAGTGTTGCTGTGTAGACTGCTGCTGTGCGGTATAAGCGCATATGTGCTGCAGTGCTAACTGTTGCCGCTCCATGTGCTGCAGTGCTAACTGTTGCCGCTCCGTGTGCTGCAGTGCTGACTGTTGCCGCTCCGTGTGCTGCAGTGCTGACTGCTGTCGCTCCGTGTGCTGCAGTGCTGACTGCTGTCGCTCCGTGTGTTGCAGTGCTAACTGTTGTCGCTCCGTGTGCTGCAGTGCTAACTGTTGCCGCTCCGTGTGCTGCAGTCCTAACTGCTGTCGCTCCGTGTGCTGCAGTCCTAACTGCTGTCGCTCCGTGTGCTGCAGTGCTGACTGTTGCCGCTCCGTGTGCTGCAGTCCTAACTGCTGTCGCTCCGTGTGCTGCAGTGCTGAGCGAGTGGTCGGTGGTGGCCAGGACCCAGGACTGGCCGCGGTTCCTCCACCCGCTACAGAACATCACCGTACCGGTGGGACGCGAGGCCACCTTCACCTGCCACATCGCCAACCTCGGACCGCACAAGGTACTGGTACAACACTGATATCGGCCAAGGTACGCAAGGTATGTACCTTTGCGGTCCAAGATGCGATGAACCTTGTTTAAGGTTGGCGGTTCATTGCAGCCTTGAACCGCAAAGGTACTGGTTTAACACTGATATCGAACCACGCAAGGTAATTGGCTCACTGCGATCTCGGACCACACAAGATGCTGTTCGGTGTACAGTGTTCAGTGTTTACCTATATCCTCGGACCACAAAAGACCCACCATTAGCACAAACCGGACAGAGAACCTTCTCGGTATCGTTGAGTTCGGATTATTGAGAATATTGGTACTGTTGCTTTAGCCAGGCTGCGATCGCATGAACACCAAAGTCACTACCCTCCCATGCCAAAAAAAAGATAACGTGTTTGATATTTCATCGTATAAATAATCGGAGCCGTACTCTTATAATGTAGACACGATATCTCTGAGTCAAGTGATTGGCAAACAAAAAGCATCTGCATTCTGCTCCCACTACCAAATCCACTACTACACAGCGAATAGCAGCGAGGTAATGCATCAGTGCGCGGCGCCTCTGGTGCTACATTCCTCGCTGTCGCTGACAGCCCTGTATAGGGAGGGAGGCAGTACCGGCGTCTGTGCGGGCGGGGCAGCCTCAGCCGCCTCGTTATTACGTTACCGGTCGGCACGACACGAAGCAGGCGGTACGGGACGCCACCGGCGACATGTCAGGCACGTGCAGTGTCACAGCAACATAGTCGCTGACAGTCGCCGCGCGCGTGCAGCGTCACACGAGTACATACAACCATAGACAGCGAGAACAGCAACACAATCAACAACGCCGCGGACAGGAAGGACCGCACGCTAGAGCGTATTTACCGGAAATCGGGCAATGCTCCTCTCAAAAGAGCATCCATTGTTGTGAAGTTGCATTACCTAAATTCCAAATCGCTCTTACTGTCGCTTTTAATTTGCGTATGCTATCAGGTATTGCTGCTGCCTGGAACAATACATTGGAAGCACATTTAACACAACAAATATTTTGGATTTACTAGGCACGAAGCCTGAAATAAATGGTACCCAGCATAAATAGAAAACGGCAACATGACAAAGCTCTTCCACTCTAGGCCATGACAAATTTTACCGTTTCATATTTATCAATGCGGCAACGGTAACTCAGCCTCTCGTGGAAAGACTAAATGCGAGTCGTAAACGTAGCAGCTTTGTCAGCACCGTTGGGCGCTGCCGCGACAAAGTCTGCGCAGGGTTGACGATCTGTGACGCGGGGTGTAGCGTTGTCAGCGGTAAAGTTGGTCGCGTCCAACGACTGCGGGGATCGTCGTGCGGCGCGGGGAACGTTTGATGGGTGCGGCTGGCCCTGACAGGCATCTTCCGTTCCGTCTCTGCTAGGGTCAGGCATCTTCAGTGGATCAGGATTCAGGTGGTAATTACATACAGGGATCGTGTAGAAGAGTTTCAGTATTGTCAGCAGTGCTCACTGCGCGTTACATTGGTGATTATCGTCTCTTTTGTCAGTACAGTAGCACTGTAATACCCCGTCTTCGTAATTGGGAACGAGTTTTTTTTTTTTCTCTCAGAAAAGCAGCGTTGTAAAAAAGCTGAACTAATGTAAACTTTTCGCTTTATCTATCAAAAGAGCAAAATCGGAACAAATGGTCATTTATCGATTGCCCTTCCCAACATTACAACGACAAGGACAATTTTTCCGACCATAATCGATCCTGCTGTCCCAAGTTGTTGCGGCAGAATCGCTATACAGGCCGAGTTAATGAAGTGTGGCAGTGGCTACGTGCCCATTTCTCCAATCCCGTAAAAACTATCCAGACTCAGTGAAACACATCGAGCTCGTCCCCTCCCCCCACAAAAACTGTCGGGCTGTGTCGAACAGGCGGCCTCCGTTCCGCCAAAATGTCCCCGGAGAACAAACAACAGCGCGCCCCTGCGGCTGACGTATGACGACAGCCGGAATGAAGGCGTCGGCAATTATGTCGCCGAGACTCCCTCACGCGCGGCCTGATCGGAATGGGGAGCAAATAGCTGGACCACGTCGGAGCACCGACTGTGCGCAGAGGAGAGGGTCTGGACGATGACAGTTTGGGTGAGGAGTGGAGCGTAAAGACAACAGATGAAGCAATCAAAGCCGTTTACGATACAGAGCCTGCAAATTTAAATGCGCTCCTGTATGTACAGGCTCGTTGCTATTTTATTGGCGCCAAATGCCGGTTGTTTCAGTGCGCGGCGGTGCCAGTCGACTTTGTGGCGGTCTGCCGGTCGGTTCTATGTCAATGCCGGTCTGTTCTGTGCTGGTCTGACTATCCGTTTGGCGCTGGTCTGTTGGTCGGTGTATGCCGGTGCCGATGGGTCCTGCCTCTGCCCGCCGGTCGGTTCTGCGCCGGTCTGACGGCTCGCTCCGATGACCGACGTGCCGGGCTGCCGCTGACACGGTATCACCCCTCGGCCGGGCACCATGTTTTTGATAGCCCTCTCGGAGGGAGCTGCGCAGAGCGGACCGCTAATTAAGCCTCAGAGCTGGCGCCGACAGCCGGCCGGCGGCGGCGCTCGTCCCGCCTGGAGGGCCCGCAGAGGACCGCCGGCCGCCTGCCCCCGACGGCTCGCACGTGCCCTGTTCGAGCGCCGCTCGCCGGACGGACAGACCATTCAGACCGCCGGCTCGAGAGGACCGCTCCAGGGCTGGCCCGGCTCCGTGCGCCGCCGGAATGGTGTGCGGAGTGACCCACCGAGACATACGAGTACCCGCTGTCCATCCGACGGTGATGGCTGATTGGTACTTGGCTTTTGCTGCCGACGTGCACAGGGCAGGGGAGGAAACGCGAAAGGGAAGATGACGGGTTATAATGTGCGTACGAATTACGATGTATACAGGATACCGTCATATGATGGGTGCGATGGCAAATTATATCTATTCGAACATTTTATCATTTTGTCATTGCCCTTATGCGAGCTTATGCGCAATTGCGATTCATTCCGATTTCTTGTCAGCTTGCGAATCTTTATCTAGACACCCATGAGCGGGGCCGGGCTGAAAATGTGCTGTGCTCGCCTCTGTTTGAGCGATAGTTACATATATTTTGTAGCAACATTCAGTGGACTATCATTCAGATATGAACACATTGTTAATTGTTGGATCCTGGAAAGATCGTCCATGCTACTTGAACCGCTGGCTGACGGTCGTGGAGCATGGGCATGTAGTTTCCGCCTGTGGTTTCTTAAGTGTAACTTTGGTCATTGACCATCGATGTAGGCATTCAGTTGCACTCCATTCTCATTAAGCTTCAGGTGTCTTGGGATAACTTTAAATGTCACTGAAAACTTTTAGCTCTCAGCTGATTTTGAACAAAAGACATCATCGATCAATGCATAAGTGACCTATTGTGGAACCTTTAGATATTGTCTGTGACAAAACAGCGACATAGTGCTCATAAGGAGCACATGCTGCCAGTTGTACCTCGGTTTGGTAAGGAAACTTACCAAACCGAGTTTCCTGCAGTTACACCGAGTGTAATTGACAGGTGGCCTGGATCAAATCCGAGAACCAGGGCATCCTGTCGATCAACGAGCGGGTCATCTCGGACACGGAACGCCTGTCGGTGGTGCGCAATGACGTCAACACGTGGACGATGACGCTGCGAGGTGTGCGCCGCGACGACAGCGGCAGCTACATGTGCCAGGTCAACACGGTGCCAGTCAGGGTGCAGGTCAGTCAAAACCAGCAATTGGCCAACACATCGTTAGATGTTGAGATTAAAAAAAAAAATGGAAAAGCCACGATTATATTTTAACACGCGCAGTGGAAGGGGGGCGGATTCCGCCCACCCCTCCTGTTTTTCGCCAATAACTCGCGCCGCAAACATGATATTAATGTGAAATTTTGGCTACCTGTCCAGAACTGAACTGCGGATCTTCTCGTGCAAGAAATAAGAAAATCGGGTCACAACTTTTCTTGTTACAGCGGTGTAAAGTCAAACATCCTGCCGCTGTGGCGGCGCGGCGGCCGGCGCTAGCCGTTACGCGCCGCCTGAATTGTAGACTGTGCCGGGGCGGGACGGTTCCGTCTTTACATCGCGCTCCTTACCGTTGATTATATGCGATTCGCGTCAAACTGTGTGAGAAGACTAAGAAATGTACAGACAATCTCATGGTCAAAGAATTTTGAAAATCGGCCGGTAACAACTTGAGTTATGAGTGTGTAAACACAAAATTGTGATTGCCGCGCTTCCCGCGTCGGCCGATCCCGCTTCAGACGGCGACATCTTACCCTTAGCAGACTTCTAGCTGCCATGTTTATAGTTGGATTAATTAGAAATTCACCATACGTACTCACAAATGTATATTCTTTCGTAAACTGAAAGAAAAAAGAAAATCGGCCAATAACTTTTTGAGTTATCGGCGTGTAAACGCAAAAAAAAGTCGCTCATATGGCAGATTTGACCACATTTGACCTCATTTGACCTTAAAGATATTGACCTAGGGTCATGAAATTCACACACAACAGAGTTCCCCGATGCCTCCGCCTACCCTCCAAATTTCGTCTTTCTAGCTTCAGTGGGAGCTGAGATCTTCGGGGGGGGCGACATCCGCCCCCCCCCCTTCCACTGGGCGTAGTACTCGCAACCCTTCCACTGCGCGTGTTAAGTCAAGAACGGGATAAAGATAGATTTGAATACGGTCTTTCTTAGCTTTATCATACACAAAAAAAAAACTATTTTTGTAGGTGGTAGGAAAGAGGAATAACCACTTTTAGTCCCTAGTTTCACTTTAAACCATAGGCGAAAGAATCCCTAAGGGTAGAACTGCTCAAAGACGGTATGCATTCACTGCATATCACACAACGTGTCTACTCAGTTATCTCGTATATAGGCTGTCCCGGAGTGCGCGCGACCACTGCGGCACAGCCTACCTCCTGCGTCGGCCGGCAGTGGGCGGCGTTACCCTCCCGTCCGCCCCGGGCCGCGTGCGATCTCTGCGCCGTGTGCCGTCAGGTGGGCGTTCTGGAGGTGGTGGTGCCTCCCGACATCATCTCCTCGGACACAAGCGGCGACGTGGACGTACCCGAAGGTGGCTCGGCGCGGCTCGAGTGTCGCGTAAGAGGTCATCCGCAGCCCACAGTCAGCTGGATCAGAGAGGACGGCGGCGACATCGTGCTCCGACATGGCAGACAGATCAGAGGTCAGTGTGACGGGTCAGAGGTCAGTGTGGCGGGTCAGGGGTCATTGGCTCCGGTCAGAGGTCAGTGAGACGGGTCAGAGGTCAGTGGGACGGGTCAAAGGTTAGTGGGACGGGTCAGAGGTCAGTGGGACGGGTCAGAGGTCAGTGGGACGGGTCAAAGGGCAGTGGGACGGGCCAAAGGGCAGTGGGACGGGTCAGAGGTCAGTGGGACGGGATAGAGGTCAGTGTGACGGGTCAGAGGTCAGTGTCACAAGTCAAATGCCAAGGAAACGTGTCTCAATTATAGAGCTGGGTTGAAGGTTAGTGAGCCAGTTCAGAGGTCAGTGGGTTAGGTCAGAGGTCAGGGAATCGGGTCAGAGGTCAGAGAATCGGGTCAGAGGTTAGGGGATATGGTCAGAGGCCAGTGAGATAGGTCAAATGCCAATGAAACGTGTCAATCATCGAGCTAGGTCAAAATTTATTGAGCTTGTGCAGAAGTCGGGCTAGAGAAAGAGCGCATTGCGTTGGGTCAAGATATTAGCCGTTTTCACGACGGGCTATCCGGCGAGTGCACCTTATTTGACCAAATCTTCACCTAATCTCTTTTACAGCAAATATCTTTATTTTATGAATTTTCGTCAGTGTTTTAGTCGATGATACTCTCTGATAATATGACAAAACAGGCATATAAGCAAAAAGTGCAACCCTAGCTGATAGCTACTAAGAGACACACTGAACCTAATTTGACAAAATCTGCACCTAATCTGCACCAGATGTGCACCACATGTGTACTAGATGGCCGTCGTGAAAACGGCTATTGTGAAATAGGATAAAAGTAAGCGCATATATTGGAACCCTGTGAGTGAGGTCACTGATCTGAATGAGTTTTCATCGAGTTGAGTGAAAAATTATTTGAAGGCGATCTGACGGTCCGGAAGTCTGCACACAACCGAAAGGTCATGGCGATACCCCACATCAAAATAACTGGTCATATCCAGCACCGGTACGGCCGAGTCCCGGTACTCCATGTGAGTCATGTTTCGGAGTCTATTTGCGGCCAGAGGGTCGCAGTGAGCACGCCGCTAGGTTCCGCCGGAGAAACATCAGAGTGGGTGTCAGTGTCAGTGACACGGCGTCGGCGGTCCGTCCGAGCGGGTGATCAAAGCAGCGCGACCGGCCCGGGGTCGCGGCGGACCCAGGCGGCCACGGGATGACGCTGCCAGTCACTTCGAGACGGTGCCGACGACTGATTGGATGAACTGATGACGCTCCGTGACACTGATCAACACGTGCCGGTGGTCAGAGAGCACTTGTGGGTGGTGAAAGTGTCCCATCCGAAGATGCAATATCTTATTAATGGCATTAATGGCATTAATGGCATTAAAGGATTTAACAGCACTGCAAAACATTAACGGTAAATCACAAAGACGTCATATTACACTATTACAGTCATGTTAATTTTTAGAACTACCCGCATAATTACTTTTTAGAACACCCCGGACATCAACCACAAAACTTATAACCAGGTGTTAATCAATCAGTTCACAGGTCACCAAGCATAAACATTATCAGTTCATGGATATCGGCGGCTGTCATCACCACTTCATGCACCACTGGTGACTGATTGATCACCGATGCATGGTGCCGTCACCATTTACCACCGTTCACACGAAACTCTCGGACACCGGCGGCACTCTGGAGCGATAACGCCTCGAGCCGTGCTATCGCTCACCGTCCCAAGTTTCGCCGTCCGTCATTAGTTCATAGCGCGGCGTTTACCCCTGGGTGGTGTCCCTGTCCCTGTGCAGTAGCCTCCCAGACTTCCATCACCTGTCGGCGGCAGCCTCCGACGCCGACCAGCGAGCAGAGTTGGTATCGGTGGCGAGATCGGACCGCGGGCCCGGCCCGATGCCGACAGGCCATCAGAGGGGATGAGCGACGGGCCGTGTCTGCGCGCTGCTAGTCTCCGCACTTTTCTCACCTCCGCTCCACTGTTGGGAGGTAGGATGCATCCCTTTCGCCGCATCGAGTGGGAGACAGGACGCAGCTGCAGTTTAACCTGCGCCTGGGTAGGATCCGACCCCGCCCCCCTCCGTTTTTTCTGCAGTAACTCATGAACCGCTGGCACCTAATGTTTTAAAAAATCGCTAAAAATAAAGTTTATAGCAAACGGCAAATTAAGGACATGAATAGACGCAACCAAATGAGCTCTTTAAAATGGCTATCTCGTATTCCTCATAAAATGCGCTTTATACTTATAAAAATTCAAAAAAGTTTTTTTTTTTGGAAAACAGCTACTAAAATCCAAAATTGTCCAAACATTAAAACAAAACGGATTATATGTTATAGAGCTCTATTAGAACATTTGATGTCCCAAATTTCAACTTTCTCTCTTAACTTTTGACCCCCAAATTGTACAAAAAATTCAACATATATAGGGCATGGTGATTGGTGACGTCATGAGTATTTTCGTGAGTTTTAAGCACTTCTGAACATCGCATGTGAAAAAAATGCAGCATTAGATTCCTGGAACAAAGCTCGTCTAGAAAAGTGAATTTGTATGTCAAAAATAAAAAAAAATAAAAAATGACTTTCTTTCTTAGGGCCCTGGCCTATAACTTGGTGATGCATGGTACAAACGATTTTTATGCTTTCAATACATACTGATGACCAGGACAGTGACTTTGGGTCACATATAAGTTATAACAATGACTATCAGATTCGGCGTGAAAAATAACCCATAAAACATATGTCGCATGCCCACATGGCAGAAAGTAAACTACCGTGGCCTTTCGTGACCTGACCTGACCTTGACCCGTGCTTAGTATGACCCCTATACGCATATGGTACCTTCATTAGGGCTTTGGGGTCATTTTTGGTGAGTTTCGAGCAGGAGCTATCGATTCCGCTGTCCGTAATCTTCATCATGCAGAAACCCCAGAATTTTACATTTGACCTGACCTTGACCCGAAAGTTGACCTCAATCTAAAAATCTTAAGAGTGTTTTGGGAAGGTCTCGTAGAGACCCCTCGAACGCCGCCTCGCGGGGCTCGATACGACCATTTGTTCTCGAGATAACAGGGGGGGATTGGATCCGACCCCCCCCCCCCGGCTGTCGTGGGTACGGAAATAGCCCAGGCGGTGCCGGGTTAATGCGGTTAGACTGAGGCACAGGTGCTCGGATCGGAGGGAGGGGCCCAAGGATTCGGGAATCGAGGGAAACTTTTAGTAGCGACATCAGTTCCATGACCTTATCATTAGCGCGTCGTCATCATAAGTTCCCGCCCAAGGCCATCAAAATATTTAGATGGTTTTGGAAAACTTATTTACTAGTATCGGTTATATTACAGGGAAACAGGGGCGCGGGTACTACTTTCAGTGTGTGTGTGGGGGGGGGGGGGGGAGGGCACACCATAATAGAGATTGACCTAGGGTACCCCCAAATCTATTTTCTCACTGGTTTTAGACCACTTGTTTTTCATCCCTTGACTTTTTCAGCAACAAAAAATGCATCAATGCATAAAAGCCTGCCTCGTAGCTCAGTTGGTAGAGCATTGGACTCCCGGTAGTGAGAGCCCGGGTTCGAGACGCTCCGGCGCTCGATATTTGAGACTCCTGACGGGGATGGTCTGCGGTTGGTGGGAGCAGCCGCAGCCAGTTGAAGTCAGTTGAGTGGGACAGGCCGTGTCCGGCTTTGAAGGGCACGTTAAACTTTGGCATCTAAATTCTCCCGTTACCCGGAATTGCGCAATCGGACGGTAGGTGTCGGGGTCTACGCAACAAGCACTGCTTAGCGTGGGCTCCGGCTCTGTTAATCCGTCCATTCAAACATTCGAGCTAAATTCATAAAAAAGTGCGATATTCCGTCTCAAAGTTGAGGGGGCACCGCCCCCACGGCCCCAGATTGGGGGAGGGGTAAGTTGCCCCCACTGCCCCCCCCCCCCTCCCGGTTCCCGCGCCTATGCAGGGAAAACTATGAATGCCTTTGAATTTTGTCACTTATCATGCGGAAAGAAATAAAAAAGTGGCGGACCATCAGTTGACGCCACTGCGCCACGCTCATCATTGGCAATATTTCTAGATTGCATGCACTTTTTGCATGCAGGTCGCGCAACGGAAATGTGGTGGGTGGGATTCTTCGGTGTCTCCTCACGTCGTCATCTGTATTCTGTTCACAGGGCACACGTTCAGCGGCCAGGTCCTGCACCTGGCCAACATAGCCAGGACGGACATGGGAGTTTATCTATGCATCGCCAGCAACGGCATGTAAGGGCGCATTACAAATGAGATGTGGCGGACGCTTAATTCAAATTACTAATAAGCTTGTGACACTGGTCATGCAGAATTAGGTACAACACTCGTTGCAAGCTATGTGCACACTGCCAACTGTTGAGATCAACACTTGGCCTTCAGATGCACTTATTGTTTAACCCTATTAGTGGCAGGGGGGTTGTTTTCATCCACCCCTCAGGTTTTTCGGAAATATCTCCGAAACCGCTGCAGCTACGATGCTGAAATTTTCTGACTTTTCCTAAAACTAAATTGGGCACATTCCCTGAAAATTTCAAGTTCATACCTTTACCAGGGGCGGCTCCAGAGCACTGGGAATTGGGGGGTCCTATTCGTGAAGCGAGTCATTTGGGCGAAGATCACGATGCTGATGTATTATAACTGTATACACCAGTTTTACGAACAGTGAATGAAAGGTATCATGTGATAACATATACAAAGTTATTGTGCATCCTCTTTTGACACGTTTTTGCTATAATAGGCGGATCCAGGCGTCCAAAAAGGGGGGTTATGTTTTACCTCCCAACATTGGTGCCCTGACACCGTCTATGCATGACCAATACAATTGTAGTCGTTCTCTCATAAGAAAATTGTAACATAACAAGACCATTGCCACCCTTTTTAGAAACAGTACAAACAAAACCCTTATTTACTATACTTTTTGTGTACCCCAATCTCAATGATCTGTATCCGCCTATGATTTTTGAAAATGCATATTTTTAGGATCCATGTGAATTCCTGGTTCATTCTCTATCGATCGGCAAAAGTTGCGTTAAAGGGACCCTCCCACCTTCAAAAAAGTTAATGAATTGGCATGAAAGTGACGTCCCTTGGTTCAGAAAGAGCGAAAACGAATATCTACCAAATTTCACCGAAAAATATTCACTGGTTTTCAAGATATTAGGCTTTTACTTTTGTTTACTTTTTGGGATCTCCCCTGTTACTAGCGACTTTATTTGGAAGCAATAATTTGGCAGCCTTAAAGTGCGGCAGACGTTGCGCGCAAAGCAGCGTGTATACCACCACGTGTTAACGATGGTTTTAGTCTAAGATTTAAAAACCGTTAGATCTCCGCTGACGTCACAAATTCTAAGGGGGCATTCCAATGCATTAGCCCCTTAGAATCCGAAAACTGCAAGTATGAAATTCCATATCTTCGAATTAAAGCATTTTTCGATGTTGTGAGTGCCCAAACCGGTATTTGCAGGCCATGGCCACCAATTTGGCTATCTCAACTCAAAACTAATGTTAAGGTGGGAGTGTCCCTTTAAGATTGGCTCAGAAACCTGGCCGTGATAAACAATCTAAAATGTATCTGCAATTTGCCCGTTTTTACCCCCCTCTACCCCCTATTGACATTCTTTTAATTTTTATTTTTTAGAAATGTAGATCACGTTGAGCGAAATCGAATGCCGTTTGAATTTTGAAAATCGGCCCGTTAGATCTCGAGATATCAAGGGGGGGTCGTAAACAGCCCCCCCCCCCCCCCCGCCACTAATAGGGGTAGCCAGGAGCCTGCCACTAAAAGGGTTAAAGGGCTTCATGGCTTGTTCTGCATGCACACAACCCGGTGATGACTGGTTTCAATGTTTCTTGTGCTAAGCAATAAGCAGCACAAGCAATGTTTCTGCATGCTTGAAATGAACGCATTTCTCTCGAAAACCCGTATACCACATTTCATTCAAGAGAGCTCTAATTTGATTTTACGTTCTTGCTTCAGGACTCAGGAGCGATATCGTAATGTCACAGGGATAAAACGTTGAATAACAATTTCAGCAAAAAGACACCAATTTCATGCAAGAATTACTAATACAAATTGTCCATCTTTATCTACCACACGTAACTTAGCACAACTAATATCGCCAATTGTAGCAATAATTAGCATTCTCTTATTGTTTTATCAATGTCACATTCTCTCTCTCTCTCTCTCTCTCTCTCTCTCTCTCTCTCTCTCTCTCTCTCTCTCTCTCTCTCTCTCTCTCTCTCTCTCTCTCTCTCTCTCTCTCTCTCTCTCTCTCTCTCTCTCTCTCTCTCTCTCTCTCTCTCTCTCTCTCTCTCTCTCTCTCTCTCTCTCTCTCTCTCTCTCTCTCTCTCTCTCTCCTCTCTGTCTCCCATCTTCTACCACTCTTCTATAACGTCACTTTTACCTTGACTAACAGTTCCCATTTGCTTCCCAGACCTCCGGTCGTCAGCAAGCGAATCATGGTGTCTGTTCATTGTAAGTAACATAGCCAGCCTGGGCTAGTTAAAACTTAAAGTGAACGAAACAAAGCATGGATCATAACCTATCAGCGTATATAAAACATATATCAGTAAACGGCTCTCTTCGTTCTGGAGAAAGAATAAATCGCTAATAGGAAAAATGGCTGTACCATGCTGGAATTTTTATAAGTCGTTAGATACAGCGACTTCCTTTCAGGGAGAGAAACATTACTTCTTTTCCACTCTGAGCTTCACCCACGGTGTAACCTGTAACACCATCGGCAGCGGCACAACCCACAACCTACCACAGCCCTGACGTGTGACGATTGCGCCACCGTATGCCGCAGTCGCGCCGTCAGTGTCGGCGGTGAACGGGCTCATCAGCACCCCGCTGGACTCAGAGGTCACCCTGACCTGTCACGTGGAGGCCTCCCCAAAGCCCGTCTACTACTGGGCGACGCCCAACCCCGGTGAGAACTGACGAGAAACCGGGTGGGATTGGGACGGAGGACGGATTGTGCCTGGCAGAGTGGCAGCGAACTCGGGGTTTTTATAGATTGGGTCTTATTTCAATTGGTAGTAGGGTGGTACCTACTGGTAGAAGTGCATTGGGAAATATGCGAATCGTTTTTGAGAACATATGTAATTGCCATACTACTGCAAAACTAATAAAAAATAGGGTCTCTTTTAAACAATCGCATCATTTTCAGGTGATATGCTGCCCTCAGGACCTCGGCATCACCTAGTATATCGGCAACTCTCCAGCTATCGCCACCAGATGTCTCTAACTATCAGTGGCGTCACGGCCGCCGACTTTCGACCGTACCTCTGCGTGGCCAAAAATCCCGTCGGAGAGGCGGTGGACAGGATCGATCTACACGGTACGTATTCATAATGTGTACTTGTCAGAGAAGGTGGGACAGAATGCTAAAACAGTGTTTGTTTAAAGACATATATACTACTAGAGGTAAAGGAAATAAAAAGGGAAAAAGATTCACCTCACCTAAATATTTAAAGTAAATAAATATTTATGAACATCTTCGGTATGGATAAAAAAGGCTCCCTTAGGCAACGCATAAGGTTGACAGGGGCTATGCAAAATTCCGCGCACCATTCAGTAATGACCATTGTGATTTTCAATTTTACAGTTCGCTCAAATCGTAGAAACGAGATATCCTCAATGGGCTGATGCGGCGATCTTCTTCCTTTCAAATAAGGACTTTCGCACCGTTTTCATTGCTAGCACCCGGCGTCATACGGCAACGGCTATGTCCCTATTGTATAAAACCATAAAAACATATCACCCGGCTCGGAAGTTACGTCTGTCACCAATAGATCATCTGCCCCATCAATACCTGCCGCATAGCCCAGCAGTTTTCGCCACGGCTAGATCGTCTGCCTCTTAAACGCCTGATGCATGCTGTGCCGCACGGCATAGTAGTTCAAACTGCGGCCGATAGATGTCTCTTATCAAAGGCGCCTGACGCATGCTGTGCCGCACAGCTCGACAGTTACAGCTCCCGCCGCTAGATGTCTCTCGTCAAACGCCTGCTGGATGCTGTGCCGCAAGGCTCGGTAGTTTCAACTCCCGCCGCTAGATGTCTCTCGTCAAACGCCTGCTGGATGCTGTGCCGCAGGGCTCGGCAGTTTCTACTCCCGCCGCTAGATGTCTCTCTCGTCAAACGCCTGATACATGCTGAGCCGCAGGGCTCGGCAGTTTCAACTCCCGCCGCTAGATGTCTCTGTCGCCAAACGCCTGATGCATGCTGTGCCGCATGGCTCGGCAGTTTTAACTCCCGCCGCTAGATGTCTCGCCAAACGCATGCTGGATACTGTGCCGCAGGGCTCGGTAGTTTCAACTCCCGCCGCTAGATGTCTCTCATCAAACGCCTGATACATGCTGTGCCGCAGGGCTCGGCAGTTTCAACTCCCGCCGCTAGATGTCTCTCTCGCCAAACGCCTGATACATGCTGTGCCGCATGGCCCAGCAGTGCCGCGCCGCGTGGCTCGACATCTTGCCGAAATTACACCGTATTCGCCAACTCCAATAATACCGTAACAGTCGTATAGATAGCTATCTCTCGTAAGTCATCAAACGTTTGCCGTCCCGCATGGTTTGGCAGTTTCAACTCAAACCTTACGGCTGTCAAGTGTCACACTGCCCCGCAGAGCACCTCAAATTCAATTCAATTATCCAATGACTGGAGTGCACGAGGCTGCTACCTGAACTGAGAAATCTGTGGAGCCTCCGTGAAACGTCAATTGTTCACCGCTGTTGAGTGGGTGGGTTCGGCCAATTACGCATTCTCCTCATGAATCCAATCCATCGACGGTCTGATGAAGCGAGATCCGTCGTCTTTAAAACGGCCTCAACCGATCTCAGGAGGACCCGATTCGTATGCATAGTACACAACGAACCAGCAGAGAGAAAAGGGCGAGAGTGCCTTTGATCAAGCCAGACGAGTTTACTGGGATTCCAATGGTAGTCATATTTCCAGCTAATATCATGGCAAATGGAACGCATGTTTACCTAAACAATGTGATTTATCATTTTGGGTGCGGGGCAACTGGCAAGCCGTTTTAAGGGCAGATTGTCGACTAGCATTCTAAGCCGCCCAATTGAAAAGAAATGCTTCTTCATGCACGACCAGGAACGCGTGAGTGCATAGCCCAGGTCTTTCCCTGACCAGAGGCTTACAAAGCTTAACGTTACTACAGTAACCACTAGCCACTAGACCTCAACTTGAAACGGGCTACGGGCTACCCGCTATGCCACGTTATCGATCTCGCATGACGTTATCTATAGACGGCAAAGACGTTATGTCGCTAAAACCCGCCCATACACTCATTGCAATTAGCAATCCCACGCAACTCAGGGTGGACAAAAACAACGGAAAACGAAACCGGTAAATCACCGACATCCAAGGCAGTCAAGGAACTTGTAACACCAACAATACCCAGCAACACAAAACACCCAATAAATCGAGTATGAATAAATCTAGTTAGTCCTACAGAAACGTCACTGCCGTTACGACCACTGCCAAGTTGACCTGGCCGTCGCGTCCCCGCGATTAGAGAGATGGGGTTACGGGCTACCGTTGTGATGGGCGATGGCACTGGCTGACCCGATCGCCGTGTTCCCTCCATTACAGAAATAGTGCTGCCGGTGCACGCATCCGGTGACCGCCGCCGTAAGCAGCAACAACAGCAGACCCATCACCAGCAGCAGGAGCGGCGCTACGAGCAGCACCGGCAGCAGCAGCAGCAGCAGCGGCAGCAGTCGCTGGACAGCCAGCAGCAGGATCCGTGGTCGGCCGACCCCGCCCCAGACGGCGGAGACGGACCGTCGCGGCGCAGGGGCGCCCGCCTGCCGCCCGGCCCGCCGCCGGAGCTGGACCGAGGCCGGGCGACCGCGTGCCGGCCTGAGCTCGCGACACTTCCACCTCTACTGATGGTGTCTTTAGGCGTCAGGAGGGTCCTCTAGGCCCCTGTTCCCAGGATGGGTGGCACTGATGGCGGGGCAGTCTCAGAAGGTATGATCGGTGGCCCGTGTTACCTGGGAGAATTCTATGTTCCTCCTGGTAGGGGTTGATACACGCGGCGGGTCAGAGAGTATCCTGGGAGGGAGTAACTTCCAGTGTGCTACGATCATCCTCAGAGGAATTATTGAGTTTACCGTCACAAGAGTTATAGGGTCTTCCTCCCAGCCTCCCAGACGACTGGTTGGAGACACACGCAGACATGGTGACTGATGGCTGAAGGAGACTGTAAATCCCCGGGGAGGGTATGATTGTTGATCAGGGGAACGATGGATCTCATGCATTCCGGTACGGCTCGTCGGAACGTTCCAAGGGATTTATCGTATGGTGGATGCACCACCCAAGACGAGCCCGCGCTATGCCCGCGTCCGCTTTCGGTAAGATGTAGTCGCTAAATTTTGTAATTTTGAGAACCTTAGAAGATAAAATCGTTCCGAGGGCTACGAGCAGAGGTTGACATTCCAAGCAGCCTGCGTACTTCTTCCAATTCCAAAACCGGATGCATCCAAGTCATCAATTTATTTTGTCATGGCGTCAAATGCTCCATGCATGAAAAATGGTTGGCTCCCGTATCTGACGTCCCTGTTGCCAGGGGCGTTATACAAAGTTATTTAATTGATAAGCAATACCCGGGCTCGGCAACACTGGAACGCCTACAAACATTTAGCTCCGTTGGTAACTTGGCAATGGCACTGTCAGACAACCGCGCATTTATTAGGTGTTGTTTTTATCCGCTGGGACTGAGAGCGTGAGATGATGTTTTTTGTACTCCAGCGTAGATGGGTAGCCATCTACGCTGGAGTAGATGGCTACCCATCTACTCCAGCTCGTAGCTCGTTAAAGTACTTGGTCTGTATAGCTCAGAGGTAGAGCATTGGACAGAGCCTATTTTAAGGGAATTTGACTGGGGGGGCAACCTGGAAAATTGTCTTTAATAATCCATTAACCCTCGCCCGTATTGGTGTTTCCAGTAGCGAGCGTATAGGGGGGGGGGTCCGTTGGACCCTCCCCCTTGCCGTTTCGCCCCTGATCGAGCTAGAGCTTCGCGGAAAAAACGACCGTGTTGCCCGTGATGAAAGGAAGCCGATTATACCCAATTTTAAGGTCCTAGGTCATCGGTTGACCTTCCAGGTCAGGTCATTAACCCAAAAGTCGGGAAAATCGGGACCTGTTAGAGCGTCGTAAAGAGTGGCTGCTATGGTTTTTCGGGGTGCTGATCACGAATATCATGTTAGTTATGATCATAGATGTTGTCTTCATGCATTTAGGCCAGGTCAGGTCAGGTCAGGTCAACCAGTAAGGGTTTTGCCGGGTATTCGTAGTAGGTGGCAACCGCCTCTGACAGCTTCGTAACATGCTACGAAGGCACCAAAACTACTTCGTAAATGGTCAAATGGTTGCTTAATTCGAATTCAGCTCCAAAAACTAGCCTAGAAACATATAAAACTCGAAAATGTGAACCGAGATCATCAAAGGTAAATGATCTGACCTGACCTTCCGGTGATCTTGACACCCACCCTAATGCATGGGAGCAACATCATATCCCATGTTTGAACGTTTGAAACCACGAAAAGACTGCAAACGCGCGGCTAATGCGAGGCGACATACGCCGAATCGCGACCTCGGCCAAACATGGTGCCATGGTGCTAGGCCGCCGGTGCATCTGAAAGAACTGTGGTGCCCCTGACAAGCCTGAAGTTCCAACGACAGGCCCGTGGTGCCCCTGACAGGCCCATGATGCCTTTGCGAGGCCGGTGGTGTCCACGTGAGGCCGGTGGTGCCCCTGGGCCCTGACAGGACTGTGGTGCTCCTGACAAGCCTGGAGTGTCCCCGACAGGCACGTGGTGCCACTAACAGGCCCAAGGTGTCCCAGTCCCTGCGAGGCCGGTGGTGTCCCTGCCAGGCATGTGATGTCCATACTAGGCCTCTGGTGCCCCTGACAGGTCCGTGGCGCCCTTGCTAGGCCTATGGTGCCTCTGGCAGGCCTATGGTGCCCCTGGCGGGCCTGTGGTGGTACCCCTGACAGGCCCAAGGTGGTGCCCCTGCGAGGCCGGTGGGGCCCCTGGCAGGTCTGTGGTGCCCCTGGCAGACCTATGGTGCTCTTGCTAGGTTGATGGTGCTCCCAACAGGCCTGTGGTGCCCCTGACAGGCCGGTGGTGCCCCTGGCAGGCCTGTGGTGTCCCCGGGCCCCAAGAGGGTGGGGGGTCATGACCCATATGACCCACCCTTAGATACACCACTGGTCATTACTTACAGACTGACTCATTTGCAGTGTTCCATTTTTCAGACTTTTTGGTGGCAAATCACACCTAATGGGGAAAAGGGAAAATATTTCCATGCCTAAAATGTGAATGACCGACTTTACTTCATCTCTGAAAAAAGTTTCATGTATTCCCAAAAGCCAGTTTACATGTCACTTGACAGTTGATGCATCCACATCCTTTTGTTTCACACCCTGTCAAGATTCTGACATGAAATCCTGGTTTATCAGTTGGCATACAAATTGGCATTGGGTACACCATTTTACAAATATACTTCGGTTATTTGTTTCCTTTTTTCTCATCCTAGGATTTTTTTTCTTCATCGGCACACCCAACCCAAATCCAATTTTAGAACACTGCTCATTTGACAACCATTGCAAAACAAGTCACAGTAGTTACGCAGTATGTTTGTCACCCTGTTCCTTTATGCCCATTTTTATAGTGGGCAAATCTCGACGACTAGGGGGGCAATTCTGTTGAGTGCGGGGGCATTTGCCCCCCCAGTTAACATGTTAAAATAGGCCCTGGCATTGGAGCGCTAATCCAAAGGCCCGGGGTTCGAGTCCCCGTACAGCCCAAATCTTTAACGAGCTTGCAAAAGATGACTGATGTCATCACTGTCAACCGTGGAAGCCGTATGGCTACCCATTAGAGTGTATCGATTTGAGGGTTTTTATTCCAGATTGAGAGGAAACTGTCAGATAAAGTGGCGCTATATTCTTGTAAGTAAGAAAAACACAAAATCGGTGTCCTGCGGTCAGTATTCTCTGGTCCGCGCCCACTTCTTTGAGACCATTTCGCCGTAACACGGGCTCCTATGGGATAACCTACTAGCGACATCTAGAATTGTAGGTGGCGCTAGCGTCGGTATGGCGTTTTAACACAGTTTGTGGTGTCTGATGCTGATCTTACTCACTCAATAGCGTTTGTTTTTCTTAATTGCCCATAATAATTTGTTTCAGACGTCTAGTTTAACAACTTCAAATGACAGTTAGAGGTTCCTTTGACATACTTCATAGTATAAAATAACAAAACATACAGGGAGTGTGGAGTTTTAGCTACACATGACATGTGCCTATTTTGCCCTAGTTTTGCTCTCGGCTCTCGGCCTAGGTCCTGTTCTGTCTGGGGCAGATCGAAACCTATCTTATACCTTGGTGTGTATAGGAGAGCGTTACATGCGTTGGAAGGCTTGAATGGACTTTGAATGCCCATATCTGTATCATTATCATTAACAGTATCAAACCGCATCTATGCACTTTTCTCCTACGCTATGTTTTCGTGCTGTTCTCATGTCTCCTGTTCTATGATCACTGTATGTTTGTCTGGGTCACAAATGGCCATTGCTTTTGAGCAAAGTAATAGAAATACCCTAAAAACTAAAGTGCATTGTGTACACCAGTGCCTATCGCGCACCAGCCCAGTTCACCGTCAGTTAGCAAAGAGCTCTTCATTTAGTGCCTGTGACGCTTGAAACGGCTGAGCGGCAACAGAGGCAAAGTGTGTACGGCACATGAGTCAAATAATAGGATTATGTATGAAAACAATGGTGAAAGGTATTTTATTAACTCGGTTGGCGCGGCGGAGAAGGACCGACGTAAAAGTCGGTCTCGTCATTGGCCTCGACAAGTGCGCCGAGCAGGGCCCGAACGTGAGCTAGCTACAGCACGGGTCATATCACGGACTAGTTGACAGTCAATCTGTGCCGGTGACCGGGCTCTTGCATGTGATCCTGTATTAAAACACCGCAGACTCACGAGTCCTGGTTGACTAGCCATCTCTCGCATGCGGCAGTTCAGTTTGGTAGTATGCCTATTCCACCTACATAGACGCACCTGTTCGGGTACAGATAGTGCGCTGTTCCGGTACAGACGGCACCCGTTCCGTGCTTCCATCCTCAGGATACTGAAATCCTTCTCCTCCACGCCGAAACCCCCTCCGGGCTGGACAGGCAACTTTATCTCATGCGGGCTGCTCCCTTGGAGCGGCACCGCGGCTCCCGAGGGAGCTCACACCGTAGCCGGGTGCAGTGAGTAGTGAGTACTTTGGGGATGGGTGGCCTGTTCTCTGGACGGGATCAGCCCCGGTGACTCACTAGGGTGCCTGCCCAGACCAATGTCACCCCCTAATTCCTATCATCCTTCCGGCTCTGAAATGGTCTTGTCGGACCGAAAGAGCCTAACCCAACAAAACAAACAAACAAACAAATACAGACGGCATCACTCGCTGGCCGCGCGCCGGGTCTCGAGGGGACGGTGACAGGCGACGGCACTGTCGCCGCCGTTGGTCGCGGTGACACGGGCGGCAGGAAAGTCACCGGACCTGCACCATAGTGCGGTGAATGGTTGGGCCTTCGCCGGCAGTAACTGTTTATTTGGGATGCGAGCTGTATGTAATACTACCAGCGCACGATATTCACAGTCTTCGCCGCGCGGTAAGAGAGGAGCCCACGGCAGTCCGGTAGGATAGGCTGAGTTGTGACAAGTTCTACCCCGAAAGTGACCACCTTTGGGGCACTGAGGGACCGCTTGACGTGGCCACTCGTCGGTTTCGGTTTCACCTACTGGCTACTAATTTTAACAGCAGACGTTCGGAGACTGCTAAGTGGGTAGTTGTTCGTTATGCTTGGTTAGAGCCTATGGGTTAGTCTATTCGAGAACATTTTAGGGCCGTGGTATGATGAATAAATGAATTAGCGGGGAGAGAGCAATATCAGAATAAAGTCGACCATCGGGCACCGGCTGTGTGCCGCAGCGTCTCAGTCAAAAGACACCATAATGGCTGCAATGCTCTGAGTCAGGCTATGCTGGGATGATAAAACACGAGAGGGAGAGGGCAATGTAAGGTTCAATCAACCAAGGCTCAATCGGTTCAATCAACCACTGACGACTAGTCCGCTGTACCGCTGGGACGGCATTTCAGCGTCGGGACATACTGTTTTGACGGCAAGTCACAACGGGACAGACTAGAGCATACATTTGTTGAAATGGTCACTCCGAAGCTGACTTCCATCGGTTGTCTGCTAGGCGGACCGTTAATCCGGAACACGGAGAAGTGCAAGCAAGGATGATGGTGAATTAGTCGTAAGATAGGACAGAAAGCAAACTGGCTCACCAGTCACCAGTTACCGAGCACCTGACCAGTGTCCACTTTGACATTTGGTCGCTGGTAACACAATTGTACCGGCTATATGTAGTCCTTAAAGTACGATGCGGCAGGAGCTCAGTTGCTAATAGTTGCCTAATCTGCTACTTACTTGTTCGTGTTTAAGAGCTCAGGGCGCTAATGCATAGGTAATGTGTATTGTGTTATGTGTGAATCAGGGTTGTATACCAATCAAGTCGATTGAATTGATTGATTTGTTTCAACGCGTATTTTGAGTTGATTGGATTGAGTCGATTGACTTTTCGAGATGACTGGTTGACTGACTCGTTTGACTTTAGCGACTGGTTGACTGATTTGATTCCCGAAAATTAGAGTG